TGAGGTTCAACATCCGAACACAAACACCTGTTGAAAAGAAAGACACAGACCCCACTTCTGCTAGGCCAAGTCACCAAACCAGCGCCTAATACTTAAACCCAATTACAGTTGCAACCTCTCCTAGAAACTAGTTAGTAAAGAGTTTTCTGTTAGCATCACTAATAAGATAATCTGCCCCATGAGCTTTCTCCATCTTCCCTGAAAGGAGATGGGACAATCTGCATTGTAAGAATGGGCAATCCCCATTCTTCCCCATAAGAGGAAGTGACTCTGCTTTAAACAATCCCTTCTTTCCTTTTGCTAATAACTTTCCCCACCCTCCTGTCTACAAAATTCGCCATTGTGTACAAGTCCTCTCTACTTGCTAGAGAGGATGCTGCCCAAATCATTAATTGTTTAATAAAGCCAATTAGATCTTAGAACTTTCTTAGATGAGAGAGAGGGTAGTCAAAAGAAGGTGGAGTAGGAAGGCAAGGCAAAAACTTCCTCCCACACACATACACCAAGGAAGCAAATGCAGCAAACACAGCAAGCCCTGGAAAGGACCTGAGGACTGCAGAACAGACCACCTACACCTGGGGAAGGTAGGACCCACACTGAGAAGGGCAAAGGGGCAGAGCTGCTATCAATCAGGGCCCAAGCCCTTCCCCCAACCCATCCCACAGCAGGAGGGAGAGGAATGGGGTGGGGAGGGAATAAGCACTCAGGAACCCTGCACACCTGGCCCTGGATCTGCTCGGGGAACAGGAGTCCACAATGCACTGGGATTTGGTGATTTACTGGGGTTGGACACAAGGGAGAGCTGGAGCACTGGTGGAGGCCCAGACTCCTGTCGCTTGTTGAGAATGGGCATGCTTGCTGGTCCTGCAGAGACCCAATGCAGAAGCAGCAATTTGAAAGATTAACCAGCAGCAAGAAGTGTGCCAGAGGGGTGGAGCCCAGGGGGAGCTCACTCAGGAGGATTAAAAGCAGGCAGACAACACTTTTCCAGCCCTACTGCACCCCAGCTGGTCAGGGGCTTACAGAAGCCAGCTCTGAAACACTCCATCTTCCTTGGTGGCAGCTCAGCAACACAGCGGTGTTTACCTGCACACCCACCTCAGCCCCTGGGCTCAGCAGCACTCCAACTTTGCTGACTGGCAGGCAGAGGGCGGAGTACACTTTCCTGACTTTCCCGGCAACCCTCAGCTCAACTGGACAGACGCTTTGAGGGCCAGCTCTCAGCTCTCCAAGTGCCCTACTGGCTCAACTCCAGTGCCCCACAGCATACCCACCCCAGCCGGCATGCTCGCTGGGCAGTGCTCTACTACTGCTGGCCCCACCCACAACGCATCCCTGCAGAAGTGCCTCCCCTCACACAAAGGACAAGCAGAGGCAAGCGGTGGGGACCAGCCTTTGCTGACAGACAGGCAGAAAGGTTGCCCCGCCCACAGCCCACCAACAGCAACTGCGGCTCAGCCACAACAGGCAGGCAGGCGCTGGTGAGCAAGCAGTCCTGAGCTTCTGAGCACCACAGGACACTCACTTCATCAAGACATTACTTCCTAGACCATAAGGCGTAGTTCATCTATCTAACAAAGGAATAAACACTGAAATCCAGACAAAATGAGGCGGCAGAAGAGTATGTTCCAACAAAAGAACAGGAAAAAGGGCTAATAAAACAGAGATTAGTCATCTTCCTAATAACAAATTCAAAGTAACAGTCATAAAGATTCTCACTGAAACGGGGAAATCAATTCAGGAGCTCAAAGGCAATTTCAACAAAGAGATAGGAAATATGAAAAGGAGCCATTCAGAGCTAAAAAATACAGTAACTGAAATGAAAAATACAATAGAGGAAATGAACAGACTGCTGAAAGCAGAGGAAAGAATCAGTGTTTTGGAAGATAGAGAACAGCAGAATAACCAAATGAGGAACAGAGAGAAAAAGGAATTTCTAAAGATGAGAAGATGCTAAGACAGCTGTGTGACAACCCCAAACAAAACAATATTCACATAATAGGGGTCCCAGAAAGAGAAGAGAGAGTGAGACAAAGGAGTAAAAAGTCTCTCTGAAGAAATAATACCTGAAAATTGGGAAAGAGACATCAAGGTTCTAGAAGCACAAAGAACCCCTACCTAACAAGACAAACCCCAGGAGGACAACACCAAGACACCATAATTAAAATGACAGAGATTAAAGATAAAGAGAGAATCTTCAGTGTAGTGAGAGAGAAGCGGTCAGTCAGCAGACTATAAGGGAAGTCCCTGCAAGGGAAACTCCATAAAGCTATCAGCAGATTTCTCATCAGAAACTTCACAGGCCAGAAGGCAATGGCATGAAATATTCAAAGTATTGAAAGGGAAGAACCTACAACCTACAAATCTATGAAGGCTAAACAACATGCTATTCTAAATAATCAATGGATCAATGAGGAAATCAAACAATAGATGGAGACAAATGAAAACAGAAACACAATGGTTCGAAATATGTGGGGTGCAGCAGAAGCAGTTTCAAGGCGGAAGTGCATACCATGGCAGGCCTACCTCAAGAAACAAGAACAATCCCAAATAGAAACAACCTAAACTCACAGCTAAAGGAACCAGAAAAGGAATAGATGAAACCCAAAGTTAACAGAAGCAGGGACATAATAAAGATCAGAACAGAAATAGAAAACTATGAGAACAACAGAAAAAAAAAATCAGTGAAACCAGGAGATGGTTCTTCAAGAAGATAAACAGAATAGACAAACCCTGACCCAGACTTACCAAAAAAAAGAGACAAATAAACAAAATCAGAAATGAAAAAGAAGTTAGAACTGATCCCACAGAAACATGAAGAATTATTAGAGAATTCTATAAAAAATCAACAAATTGGACAACCTAGAAGTAATGGACAAATTCCTAGCAACGTATCATCTTCCAAGACTGACCAAAAACCTATTAGAATAACTGGATTCAGCAAAGGTGCAGGAGACAAAATCTAAATACAGAAATCTGTTGCATTCCTATATACGAACAGCAACTAGGAGAATGACAAATGAGGAAAACAATTTCATTTACAGTTGCATCAGAAAGAATGAAATATCTAGGAGTAAACCTAGCCAAAGAAGTGAAAGACCAGTACTCTGAAAACTGTAGACACTGATGAAACAAACTGAAGACGACCCGACTCAATGGAAATCTATCCCATGCTCATGAATAGGATAAATTAACATTGTCAAAATGGCCATCCTGCCCAAAGCAATTTACAGATTCATTTCAATCCCTATGAAAATACTGAAGACATTTTTCAATGAATTAAGAGCAAATAATCCTGAAAAATTCATATGGAATCATAAAAGACCCTGAGTAGCCAAACAATCTTAGGACGTACAAATTGGTCTGAGGTAAAAGGAATTGCTCTTTGCCTTACCCTGCTGAATCCCACAACATCCTGGTTCCTCCAGGTAGAACTCTCTGTACATTAGCTGTAAACGTTATTTCCTTTTCAAAGGGAGGACAACTATGTTCTTCAGGGACAGTAATGTAAAAGAGAACAAAAAGTCTAAGGGGTAGTCCAAACACCACAAAGGACAAGAAGTACTGGGTACCCCATCGTTATTTAGAGATCAGTCATATGTGGCATTGGCCATTTTTGGGTAACAATTACTTCTTAATAACAAGGCTAATTCAAGCAGTCATCAAAGGGCAGACAAACTAAAATGACAGCAAAGGAAGTTCAATTTTCTGTCTCCAGGATTAATTCAGAAACAAATATACAACCAGTAAAACACGACTGGTTCCACTAGCCCACCTTTTGGTAACATTTTAATAGTATATTTTACTCTCTGCAGTTTTTCGCAGTTACTAACACAGTTAAAGTAATTCTTCAATTTCTTTAAACATACAATAATAGAAAAAAAGGCAAAGATAAAAACAAAATTAATGTAGGATAGCTGGGAAGCACAGCGAAGCTTCTGGAAGAAGTAAAAATCCTCTTATCTTCCCAAAGAATAATATGACTATCACAAAAATGATATCTGTTCTTTCTATACCACTGATGTACACATTTCATAAATTCAGTCCTTGAGAATATCGGGAAATTTACTTACAGAATGTACTACCACCATTAAATAAAAAATGCTAGTGAAGAACCCTTGGTCAGGTTATGTGTTCTTTTCTTCAGTCATCTTCAGTGAGCATTTACCGGCCACCTACCAGGAGCCAGACACTTTGCTGTCTGCCAGGATAACAGAGCGACACATTTGATTTTTGCCCTCAGAGATCAGTTGCTGGGAAGGGAAGGAGGTATTAAGAAATCACTATCACAGAGTAACCACCAGACACAAGGGAAGCCCAGACAAGCACCTGTCCAGCCTGAGGGTCTCTTCTCAACTACCACCTCCTATCAATAACCAGTAGGCAGGCCAGGGTTAGGAACTTCCTGGCCCCAGGAACACTCCCAACACAAGAGAACGAGTCGCAGGTGCCTTCCCTGCACGCGCAGACCCTTAGGCGGTGCGCGACAGGTACACATACACAGATATTTTGGTCACTGATTTGTTGGACAAATATTGCAGTACCAGTCCCAGCTCGGGTCCCAGAGCTCCACGGAATTTCAGACAAGCCACTGCCTGCAATTGCCAGAGTTTCCTCGAAAACAAGACCCAAGAACTTTCCTCCTTTTACAAATAAGGACTCCTCCCTCGGGCAGTGGCTCCACCCTGCCCTGCTCTGAAAAATGGTTCTTCGGGGCCAGGGTCGGTGGCGTCTGAAATTCACCACGTTCCCCTCCAAGTTTCGACGACGCGACCGTCCCACCTCATTCCTTCCCTCCACCCACCCTGAAAAACTGGAACTTTATTCGCTCATTATAAAACCTCTTCTGTGGAAATTACTCTACTTTTGAGATAACAACGAACTCTTAACGAGAGGCGAAATAAAAACCCCTGACCTCCGGCGTTCCCAATCTGCTTGGACGAGAATCAAACGTGAACAAAGACATTCAAGAGAACGCACAATCCCGCACCCAAACCTACGAAGGCACAAAGCCAGGTGCCGGTGGGCGCAAACGGGGTCGTTCCCAGCGAGGGCAGAGCCTGAACGCGTCCCGGACTCGGCGGAGGGTGCGGCCTCGGGCCCGCGGAGAGCGCTGAGGGAGAGGCGGTCGCACCAGCTCTCCGGGGGCAGGGCCCGGGGGCGCGGGCCGGGCGGCTCCAGAGGCTCTCTGGGCCCGGGGGCGGGAAAAGGCGCGAGCCGGGTGTTCCCTCGGACGGCTTCGGTCCGGGCAGCCCCGGGGGCTCGAGGGCCCGGCGAAGGGGAGGGGCGAGGACCGAGCGGCTCGGGAGGCTCAGGAAGGGCCGACACTGCGCAGTGGGGAGGGCGAGGTGGGGGGTCCTCTCGGACGGACACGGGCTGAGCGTCTGCAGGGGAGGCTCCGACCCCAAGACTAGGGAGGGGAGGGAGTGCAGACTGAGTGGGGCTGGCGTGGAAGGGGGGAGTCACCTGATAACACTACGACCGCCACCGCCGCTCACGGAAGTAGGAAAAGACCGCAAGGACGCCGGGGGGTTCCTTGGTCCGACTGGCCGCGCTTGCGTTCTGGCCGCCGCTCGCGACACAGTCCGGCGCATGCTCCTGTCCCGTCCGGCGCGGGGCACGCCGGGAATTGTAGTGGGGCGAGCGGCTGGGCGGGGTGACGGGGTGGCGGCGTCCGCCGCTCTGCTAGACGGCCGCTGGAGACGCCCCGCTCGCCCCCCGGCCTGCTGTGCGGTGCCACCTTCGGATTATCACAGCCAGACCGCTTAAGCAAGCGAGCCCCTCTAGGACTGGGCAGCATCGCAGCGCCAGAAGTGTGGAAGGCGCAAAATGTAAAAGCGGCGTGGTGGGGAATGGGGGGCGTGCGTCATAGGGCACGGGAGTCGGCCTGAAGGAGCCGCGATGGCCAGGCCTGGACCGACGTGGGCCACAAAATAAATCATATACTACTGGAGTGTATAATAAATATGTAAGAGTCCCTCTGCTGTGATCAGTGATTTAATCAACAGGGAGAAGAGACTAGTCTTCCTTTCAGGGGGATTCTAACCAATCACACCTCTTCCAGAAGGGTCCCCGTCTCCACCCACGCACCCCAGTGTGGGCTGTGCAGTGAGCTCCTCCCAGGCGCAGTGGGAAGGGGAAAACCACTACACGGTGGAAACCGACAAGCGCTGCTCGACCATGTGATCCAGGTTAACACCGACTGTCAGGTCATGTAGAGAGTATTTGCCCTTGAAAAGATGTGATGAAAATGTCACCTGCCTTCCTCCTAAAGGGGCATTAGCCCCATTGGAACCATGAGAAACATCAGACATCCCTGTTGAGGGATATTCCGCAGAATACCTCACCCAATACTCCTCAAAACCATCAAAGTCGTAAAATACAAGGAACGACTGAGGAACTCAGGTGTAACGTGGTGTTCTGTATGGGAAAACCGTCCCCGCAGCAGGGCTGCTCAGCAAGGTTGGCGGAAACGCTCTCGGTCCCGGGACCCGGAACCCCGCCGCGCGCCTCCGTCGCCTCCATCCGGGGCCTCGCGGACGCTGGCGGGAACGCGCCCGCCAGCCCCCAGCGGCCGCCCCGCCGTGTCACGTGCCCGGCGCGCCCCCGCCGCAGGCGGAAGTGAGGTTAGGGTTCGGTGGCTGCGCTGCGTCGGCGGGGAGCGCGGGCTGCGGAGAGGCGGGACGGGTGGATCGCAGCGGGAGCAGCGCGGGCCGGGGCGGCGGCGGACGGGCCTAGCGGCTCAGCCCCCACTTCACAGCAGGCTCCGCGGCGCGCGCCCCTCCCCGAGCCCCAGCGCCGACTCCGGCCCGGGCCGGCGCGCTGGTCCCCGAGGCGCAGGCCGCCGCGGCGCGGTGAGTGCGGGCGGGCGAGCGGGGGCCCCGGCGGGCGGGGGCGGGGGAGTGCGGAGCTTCCCCGGCTCCGGGGCGCGAGCCGGGAGGCGGATGGGCGGTGGCGCGGCCCGGCCGGAAGTGCGGTGCTTTGTGCGGCCAGTCTGGGGCGGCGCCAAGGTCGGGCGCGGGCGGGGCGGGAGGCGATCGGTGCTTTGTCCCGCGGCGGGCTGCAGGCCGGCCGGGCAGGTGCCCGGGGCCCGCGGAACGGAGGAGCCGTCCGGGACTGCGCGTTGGCTTTTGTCCGGTCGCGGCCACACCGGGTCTGGAAGGGTAGGACAAACGGACAGGACTAGCGTCCTGTCAGTTAGGTTGAGGAATCCGATGACTTTAATCATTTTCGACGCTTCCACTCTTCGCTTGGTCCACCCACAAAGTGAAAATTGTTCCTTTAACGGGGCAGAAGCTCATGTTCGCCCTCCAGCCGAATGGCTTTGGTGTTTCCTCCAGCGGAGAGGTTCAGTGGCCCAGTCTGGATTGACTGAAAAGGAGAGAGCACCTTTGCAACGTGTCCACAAGCAGGGCGTTTCTCTTAAGTGGTGTATGTAAGGGTGCATCGAATGCATTTTGTGAGTTAACGATTCCTTAACGTCATACAGAAAAGTAGAAAAGTGTTGTTGGCATGCAAGAAGAAATTTTTAATGGAAAAGTTTGTTTATTCCGCACTCCTTAAATTCTCGTCATCCCTGTGTAATTTGAGATTATTTTCTCAAATATTGTATGAAAAACTTTGGATCGAAAGTTTTTGTATTTCGTAATGATATCATAGGAGCACTTTTTTTTTACTTTGGTAAATAAAGAAGTAGTGGATTTTTCTTGCTTTGACGGCCAAGAATTTAACAATTTAAGGTTCTTTTCCCTGATGTTGAAGCTACTGTGGTGCCCATTACGAAGACTTGTTTAAGATTGTGAAGAGGGCTTGCTTTGGTACTAGTGTGCATACCTTTAGTCGTGTTTTTGACTACATGGAAACTGAGGTCTGGTAGAAGCCCCCGCAGGCTTCAGGTGTTAGTTTAGAGACAGCTGACTTCCCCTGGTTATGCTGGCCAATGGTTGTGCGGCAGTCACTAGAAATGCTGACCAGGTAGCACCCCCTTTTTCTGCCTCCTGCGCTTGGGAACGGTGCAACGATTGGGCCTTGTGTGCAAGGCAAGTGCCTGCAGCCCGGGAGGAAGGAGGAAGTACTATCTGCTGCTGGGGATCTTACTGCCCTGCCCTCTTTTCAGGCCCTGATAGGTTTGTTAGAGTTTTTAGTTTTTTATTCTACTCTACAGTTGCCTTTCATTCCACTAATTTCCATTTTAAGGTTAGAAAGAACTGTAATGCCAAAATTACGAACTTTTCATACATCTGGAAAATTAGTGTAATGCCACAGAAGTAGAGAATTAGAATTGAAAAAAATCTGAAGTGCATTAAAAACTAGTTTTTTATACGTTCTGTAGTTTAATGGGAAATTGTCTTTTATGAACTTCTTCTTTTCCTAGATCAGTTGAGGACAGTTTTAAAAGCAGTTGTACCACTGTAATAAAGCAGTAAGTAGTACTTCTCTCATGTCTGTCTTCCACTCTGTATTGGCATCTTTGAAGTCTTCTCAAGTTCTGTGCAGAAATATATGAATTTCTCCCAAAAGAATTGCACGCGTTGGCAGCAAAGGTAGAATTTGGGGGAGTTGAGGACTTTGTCCTATTGTATGGTGTTCTTGATGGTAATCAAGACATTACTGAGAATTTTCACTGTCGATTGTATAAAAGGGTATTGGATCTTGTATATTGGTGTCTCAGGATTTAAGCCCCTTGAAATTAGTTTTCTTGATCTGAAATTCTGATATACAAGGCTTTTAAAATTTTATAATTACTATTGCATTTGGGAACTTTGGTCCTGGCATGTTTTGAAACTAGAGAAAGTACAGTAATGAGTCTTAAATGTACATTATGATTATTAATGGATTTTTGAATTGAGGAATTTTTGTTGTCATCCTCTATTTTAAAAGGTAAATCTGAGATTTATCTATTCTTAGGTCAAACCACCCATAGGTATTATGACACTTGTCATTCCAAAAGGGAAACTTATTTTAAAAAGTTGTATTCTCTGGATTCAGCCTTGAAATCAGAATCGTTTTAGCCCATACCAAGTCTGACTAGGAAATTGGTTTCTGGGGGACCAGTGGCACTAGAATCCCAGCAGAGTTCTGCTGATGGGTTTTTTTTTTTTACTTCTTTTCGATGCAAACTTAAAAAGTATAACAGTACAATGTACAGCCATATACCCAACATTTCAATGTAACAGTTATTAACTCCTAATAATTATTAACAGTAACTTTGCAGTACCCTTTTTTGTAGAAATATTTTAAATTACAGACATGTCATTTTTATCCTTACATGTTTTAGTATGTATTTCTAAAAAATGATATATTTTTACATACATAATCAAAATACTATTATTGCACCTAACAAAATTAACAATTGTTTAGTAGTATTTGTTACCCAGCATGTATTCAGTTGTGTCCCCAAATCTTTAAAATACCTTTTTAGTTTTTTCAGTATAAATCAGTATCTAAAAAAAATATACCTAATGAATGGACTTTATGTGTAAATCTGTTTTAATCTAGAACCTTCCTTCTCTCTACCCCTCTGCCTTTTTTCAGACCATTGACTTACTAAAAAAACTGGGTCATTTGTTCTGTAAAATGCCCGACGTTTTGGGTTTGATTGCTTCGTGGTGTTATCCTCTGGAGAAGTAGAAGTACTTTCAGGAAGTGTAACTTCTGGGTAGTTTGGAATTTACGGTATTTACAATTCAAATGTAATTCTGTAAGTTTTTTAGTGGCAGATGAAGAGTACAAATTATTACTGGTGTAGATTCTATGTCAGGTCATTAAGGAAGGAGAGAGCCTTCCATCTGGTGTTCAGTGCTTCACTCAAGTTGTTTACAGTTTTGAGTGTTACTAATAATGCTGTTTTAAACATTTGCATACAAGTTTTTGTGTGGGTGTGTTTTCATTTTTCTTGGGTATATGCCTAGGAGTGGAATCACTGGGTCATCTGGTAACTCTTGTGTTTAACTGCTATGCTCTTCATGAGCGTTCATTGCCTACCAGCTGACATCTGCTTAGCCTCACATTTAAGGGTTGGCACATGATGGTTCTAACCTAACTTACATCTCCAAAATCATCTTTGCTGATTCCCAATGTGGAGCCTAAGCTCCAAACAGACCCAGTTGTCCCATATTCCTTTTTGCATTTCCTCATTTCTGTGGCTTTTTGGGATTCTACCTGTTATTAAGAGCTTATTGGAAATGGCTTTGTAATCAAGATTTTCCTGACCATTCCTCCCCTCCCGTGCCCTCCTCTCCCCTTCTCACCCCCATTTAAT